ATATATTTAAGATAGTACTGAATTTTTTTAATAAGATGAATTTACCAATTTAGAAAAATAAATAAATAACCTAACAAAAGTTCTAACAGAAAAATGTTATTTACATAAAAATAATCACTCCTTCTTTTATATATATATATATATATATATATATATATATATATATATATATATATTGGTTCCTGAAGAAAAAAACGAGAACCATATATTTAAGATAGTACTGAATTTTTTTAATAAGATGAATTTACCAATTTAGAAAAATAAATAAATAAATAACCTAACAAAAGTTCTAACAGAAAAATGTTATTTACATAAAAATAATCACTCGTTCTTTTTTTTTTAAATATAGTTTTAATATGATTTTTTTATATTTAATCAGGACAATATAGGTACAATATTTCTAGTGTGATCATGCTTTAATTGGTTTGTCTTTCATTTTAAAATCAAAATAAGTCTTCATAAAATATTTAGAAAATCAAAGATATCACTTGTATTAAATTTTAAATATCCGTGAGCCATAGAGTTTGCCTTTGCAATCCTTGTAGACTGTGAAAGGATTCATCCTATGTGGCATTCAATTTGGTTGAAAGGGGTTTGCAGGCATTCAATTTGGTTTTGAAAGGGGTTTGCAAGACCCCGGTGTAGATGCTCTTATATTATAGTAAAACTTTATTGCATGTCTCACCTTCTTTCAAACAATCCAAAACAAAGGTAAATACTTTAGATTCTAGAACAATGTTTTCTAGACAAAATGGTCATTTTCCAAATTTAAGAAAATTTTGGTCATCTTTCATAAGAACCTCATTTCTAGTGGTCAATCCCTTACATTTTTTTTTTGCTCTAGTGGCAATATGGTGCACCACTTTATAAATTCCAAGGCTACAATTCAAACTACAGAAGACATTTTTTCAGGTGCCTTTACATAAAACTAGGATTTTACCCGTCACGCGTTGCGGCGGCAGTAATGTATTCGAGAAGTAGTAGAAAATAAGTTGCTATCTTTTGAACAGGAACTTAGGAAGACTTAAGTTAGCAAACCACAATAGTGAAGGGTCAAAGTCATGCCAAGAAGAGATAATCAAAATCGTATTATATGCAAAACGTATATGAATATTAGTAAGTGAACGTAAAAAAAAACGAATAATTTTTTAAATTAACGAAGTAAAGTTCTAAATTTACGTCGAAACATTGATCACCTCTAATTTATACCGACACATACGAAAGGTTAGAAAATCAGAAGAGTGGTAACCGTAGGTAAATCAGATTATATATATATATATATATATATATATATATATATATATATATATATATATATATATATA